TAAAGATAGGTCTTTTATTTATGACTGCTCTTACAATATCTCTGTGACTCTGGCTTTCAACAGTCTTACCATGATATGTCCAGGTGTGCTTTTTTGTTCATTTGTTTTTATATTTATCATGTTTGGAATTCACTGAGTACTTGAATGGGATAATATCTTCCCACACTTTTGGAAAAAATCTCAGCCACTATATCTTTTTATACAAGTTTGATTCAATTTCTTTTTCTCAACTGGAACTCTATTTTGAGGACTTGGGACCTTTTGATATGTCCCTCATATCACTTATTTCAATTTTAAATGGTTTATTAGCTGTAACTGTCAGTAGAGATTTGTATTATTGTCTCATTTGTTCAATTAATCCAGTGCTTCATATTATGATGTCTATAATTAAACAATTTCCTAATTTCTTTACTTTTCGTTATCAGATTCTGCCTTTGTTATCAAATGTCTAATCTATGTTTCTTCACATAGTATGCTTATTTTTTCTTCCATTTTCTCTAAAATACTAATCATGGTGGGATTTTTGTGTGTGTGTGTGTTAGTTATCATCTTTTCCACTCAGTGAATCAACACTTAGCCTCTGGCTTTTCTTTTCCTACCTTTTGGTTTTTTATATTTTTATTATCTATAACTTTTCACCTTTTTCTATCTGTTGCATCCTATTGTATGCTTTGTTTTATATTTGATAGAGCAATAGAAGCCCTCAGTGGTATCACCTTCTTGAGAAGTTTTCATATTTCTTCTGTTTGAAAAATAGGCTGCGACTAACAATTTCCGTACAATTTGGATTGAGTTAGGTCAAAAAATAGTATAATTTTAGTAAGACATATTCTTTACAGAGTTTATATTGAGTTCCCAAGTGCCAGAATTTTTATTTTCTCAATTTTAAAAAGCAATACATTGTTGGGAGTCAGCTTTGGAGGCCCACCTGTTGACAAAGTCCAGGGGATTGAAGACTCCAGGCCACAAAGCAAGCCTGGCAGCTGAAACCCTCACCTCTTCTACTTTTGTTATTGATGTAGTCGGAAAATTCTGTTCAGTCGGAGATGGAAAAAACAAAGGGCTCCTTCACGTCATTATTGCCTCAATCATAATTACCAAAAAGCTATTTGTAAAACATCGCTGCAAGTTCACCTGAGTTAGACCCTTTTTAAAAAATTACACTGATACTGACCTCCCAGTGCTAGCTTCCTAATTATTTTGTTTTTAACTTTTTTGTGCTGGCCCCTGCCAGCCCCAATTGAGCGTTACAGTTCAAAAGTTCACCAAGAGAACTGTAGGCATTTTACTATAAAAAAGTTTACAGTGGGAACAGGAGACATCTCTTTAATGTGAAGTTTTAAACCTTTTCGTTTTTCCCAAAAGAATTTAAAATGCTAAGGTTTCCCATGTGTGAAGGCAGATAAGTACATGATGAAAAATGTCTTTTTTAAAAAATTAAGTTTAGGAATATTTTTTTATTTTACAATTATGTTTTTGACGTTATTCATTAATCAAGGTTTAAGAGGTTTATTGTAAGTTATAATGATTTAAGTTTTAGTTGTTTTAAGTGTTATGGTTAGTTTTAATTCATATATTGTTGGTTAGGAGTTTGTGATAAGCTAGAGTAGGAAATTTTTATGTAAGTTTTGTTTAAAAAATCAATTATGCAATGTGTTTTTAGGGTTTTAGTTACTGTTTTAATTGAAGTTTAGAAAGTTCGTGATTGGATGTGATTTGTAGTTTTGTTTTTAGTTTTTATATGGAAGCTGGATATGTGATGTATAATCGAAATAATTAGATTAGAATTTAAAGAATTAGTAATATACAATGTTTAATTTGGTAGAGTTTTAGGTTTATTTAGCAATATACAATGTTTAATTTGGTAGAGTTTTTAGATTTATTATTTGTAGGATGTGAGTGTTTTTTCAAATTGTCATTTATCATGGAGTGGGCCAAAGACCTCCGGGGAGTTAACAGCTTGATCAAAGATTTGTGAATGACCGAATGAGAACTAGCTGCCTTGAATGATCACAAGACAAAAAAAACTCCTGGAAAGTTTCGTGCATGAACTCTGTTTTGTTGTTTTGTCTTGAACAGTTGTTATTAATTAAGATAATGGTTTAATCATGATTTGGGAATTTCCTTTGATTGTGTCTTTGTGAAAATGATATATAAGCTCAATGTTAAATGGCAATAAATGGCATGTGTCCTGCTAACAGCAGAGTCAGTTGTCTGAGTGTTTCCTTCAATACCGACTCTGTTTCTCCTTCAGGAAACCCTGAACCCAGTTGGAGTGGGATTCCAGTGATACATGATTGATTTTCTGATACACAAAGCTTCAGCACCTCAGTTCTGTAGCCTATATCCCAAGCTTATTCGCAACCATGAGTTCCCATCAGTATGAAAAATGTGTTAAAGGAGAGACAGCTCATGTGTTTGAGGCAAACCCTATTCTACTAAATCTTTTCTTTCTCATGTACAACAGGATTATAGCTATTTCTGCTTTCAGAAGCTTCATCCTCTCACCTCAGCTTCTCACAGAGGACCTAAACTCAGAAAATATAGCATAAAGAAAAGTGATTTTGAGTTTGATACCCCTACATTTTTAATTTATCAGTCTAGTCTTATCTAGGCACTAAAGGGTATCCAGGTTTCTCTTTTTCTCAGAGTAACTCTGTGTTGGCCAAGCCTGATACTCTGTACTCAGAACCATCAAGTGTTCCAAGGCAAAGCAGTACTGACAATGAAGAACTGTGTTCTCTTCTCTGGAATTTTGAGGTCTTCTTCTCTTTACTTAAATGCACTACAAAGGATTTACAGCAAAAAAATTAAAAAATTGATTTGGTATAATTTTTTTTCTCAGAAGAATAACTTGCTTTTCTAAATGTAGCACAGTCTACTTAAAGCTATAAGCACCTTTTCAACCTCATTTTATAACCAAAGTAACACAGAAGTTGAGAAATAACTGTTATTATCATCCCACTCTATTTTGAAGTAAACTGTTTATAAATTTAAGTAACTTTCCAAAGATGGTGAAGGGCAATGGTAAGGAAAAACTAAAGTAAATTAACAAAATAAAATAAAATGTATGAAGCCTCCTCACTTATGCTTTCTCCATTATCCCAAAATCAGTACTATAATACTCAGGATTCAGTCAGAAGTTGAGAAACCACATCAGTAATTTTGGAGACAGAGAATTAAATATAAATAATTTGGTAAAAACAGTTGTTGAACCAAACAAAGTAATGCAAATGCCATACTGATGGGAGCTCAAAGTAGACAGCCGGCCTCTCTCTGAGGGTGCTAACACATACCTACATAACTGCCACAAGTCCAAACTTGAACAAAACAGTATATTATACCTTCAATATAATTTAGTTAGCATAAAATTACCCTAGGGAAACCACCCACTCCTATCATGCACCTGACATCATGACAGAAAAATTTAGCCAAGCTCGGTGGCTCAGCCTATAATCCCAGCGCTTTGGGAGGCTGAGGTGAGTGGATTGCCTGAGCCCGCGGGTTCGAGACCTGCCTGGGCAACTTAGTGAGACTTCATCTCTACAATAAAAATCAAAAAATTAGCCGGGCGTGGTAGCGCATGCCTGTAGTTCTAGCTACTTGGAAGGCTGAGGTGGAAGGGTCACCGGAGTTCAGCAGGTCGAGGCTGCGGTCACTGGGAGTGGCCACTGCACTCCAGTCTGGGTGACTGAGTGAGACTCCAACTCAAAAAAAAAAAAAGAAAAGAAAAACTCATACATGGTTTAAAAATGGACGACTCCTCAGTTCCAGGAATTGCCCACTCATTTCCCAGGAAAATTCACCTCTTTAGTAGAATATTCCAGTTCTTTATTATTTTAACTCATAGAAACCAGTGACCCCTGAGCAACACTTTCTTGTGCTCATACTTCTCCTAAAGTGTGTACTATCCTGTCATGTTCATTTTCAATAACCCTGCTATTGTTTTGCTATTTTTAACTGGCTTTTAAATTATTTTTTGCTGCAAAATCAAGGACCCTCATAAGCCCATCAGTAACAATATTACTAATTGGTTACTAAGTATAAAGTACTAGTTATATGAAAGTGATTTCATTCATGAAGCTGAGGAGCAAATGGAAGAAACTGGGGCTATTTGAACCTAGAACACTGTAGAAATGGCTCCATGGATCTGGGACCCAGAACTCTAACAGAAAGTATGGCTAAGTTGAGAGCCCAAAGAGCAGGAATTCATAACTCTGAGGTTCACACACTAGATAGCTGTACTGATATGCCTGAGGCAGACAATGAGGTGAGTCTGAAGTGAATTTTAAAAAATGTAAGAGTATAGGCTGGGTATGGTGTCTCATACCTATAATCCCAGAGCTTTGGGAGGCCAAGGCAGGAAGATTGCTTGAGGTCAGGAGTTCGAGATCAACCCAGGCAACATGGTAAGATCTTGTCTCTACCAAAAAAAATTTATCTGAATGTATTGGCATGTGCCTATAATCACAGTTACTCGGGAGGCTGAGACAGGAGGATCTCTGGAGCCAAGGAGGTCGAGACTGCAGTGAGCCACTGAAGTCCAGCTTAGGCAATAGCTTGAGACTCCAATTAAAAAAAACATAAGGAGACAGAATGAGAGAAATAAATAAGTAAATAAATAAACATTTATTATATTATTATTATAAGGGAAACATTGTTATCAACAGGAAGAAAATATATCCCCCCAGATTTCTAACTCACTACTCATTCTCCCTACTGCAGAGCTGTAATATGGTTTCTGTAAGGCATAGTACAAAAGGGGAAAGCGCTTGGGAGCTGAAATGTGGTTTTTGTAAAGCGGAAATATGGTTTCTGTAAGGCATAGTACAAAAGGGGAAAGGGCTTGGGAGCTGAAGGGCAGAAACTTAAAAACTGATACACAGTGTGTGCCTCGCCTTTTTCCAAGAAACATGAAGCAATCAATTTTAGGAAAAATCAATCTTCAAATTATGTAAAATAATGAAGGGTACGTAGAAACACACGAGAAATTAGTTTTTTTAATGAATACTTTTTTGAGATACAGTTTTTGAAATTGGTACGGATTGCTTTGGTTTCCCACGCTGACTCTGGGAAGGCAATCCGCCAAGTTGACTTTGACTCTTGGAAGGCAATCCGCCAGGTTGACTTTGACGCTTGGCAGGCAATCTGCCAGGTTGACTTTGATTTTTTTCCTTTCCTTTTGCAGATGGAGTCTGGACATTTTGCTGATTGGGTATAGGTTTTTTTTTCTTACAAAGCCTACACAGGCAACAGCATAAAACAAACAAAGCAAAAGGCAACAATAAACACAGGTAGCAAAATTTATTTCTTTGCTTTCTCCTAGGGGGTGGGCCACTGTCAACACTACCTCCATAGCCTTCTAACAGGCAGTTGGGAGGGTCCCACCGATAGTTGCAATGGCAGTGATGCTTATTGTTGCAGATGCCTCTCTTGTTACAAAATGCAGGTGAACAATTACTATCCAAGATAGCTATATGGACACAGTGCTTCTGGATGCAGATATGATCTGTACCACACTCTGTGCCATCTTTCACTTCACCTATATCAGGTCCTTTCATTCCATAATGGTAATCAGTACCCCAGCATGTGACATCATTGAAGTGAGCCCAATGCACAGTAGTATGATCACTCAGATAGGGAATTTCTTTTACATTCTTACACTGAATTCTTCCACACTGGACATCTGAGATATTGCATTTTATGTATGTAGCACCTTTGATACCACAGTGACCTATACGTTCACCTAGGGTATTTATTTTTTTGTAGCAAGTCTGATTTGCAGTCTTTGCCCCTCTGCCAAAAATCTGCCTGCAATGTTCATTGCGGTCATTACATCTCTTTTCATAGCAATAGGCACTGATATTACAGGGAATTCCATCTTCCACATACACATCATCTGGGCACTTATGGGAAGTTCCATTGCACCACTCTGGAAGATCACATTTATTGATTTCCTTTCTACACAATACTCCTGATGGTAAAAACTTGCAGTTTTTGCAGCAAAGTCCATGAGCACAAGTAGCTCCATCAACCAGGGTGCAATTTGGCATACAACAAGGATCTTTTGCACAATTCTTTAAAGGTCCACAGTCACACTCCTCTTTTTCTTCAACAACACCATTGCCACAGCGTGTCCGGTTAAAAATGTCCACCGTGTATATATTTTCGAACAAACACGTTGTCTTCTCAACAGTATACTGCCAAAAAAAAGCATGACTACAATTGCTAAATCTTGTTGTTGGTGGGTTATCTTCATGCATTATGCACTTACGTTGTGCACAGTTGCATGTATAATAATCGTGGTTCATGCCCATATTATGACCTAGATGATGAGCCACCGCAATTGCACTAATGCCCAGAGTTTTGTTCATGAAGGTTACAACTGCACAACTCCTTTGTGCTTGGCATATGCTTCTAGATATAGCTAAGCCACTTAAACCTCTTAATCCTCGATTTATGAAGAGATGCGAAGTATCGTGTTGTATCCGAGGAACAATGTTTTCCAACTTCCACTCGCAAAATAGGCGTGAAGATTTCCTGACGTCGTCTACTACAATTGGGTTTCTATTCGTCCAGATCTCCATACCAAATAATAACACGTTAACACCAATTACATCAATAATGGAATCTACTATATTTACAATAACATATAGATCGTCCAGTAACTTTGATTCATTTCTTCCATAGCGAATGTATAGATATTTATCTATCACAACTACAATTTCAATACGCCTAAAATGGATCCACCAGCCCTCAGGAGAACTTTGCTTCAGAGTTAAATCATCCATTTCTTCAAATTCCATCTGCCCTGCTAGCTCATTTTGCACAAATCCAGATCTCATGGTTGGAAATTGTGTCTCTTCGCTGTCCATTTTGTAGACTAGATGTTCAAATGTGGTAGAAAACACCATGGGCTTTATTTCATAAGCAAAGTCATCTATCTGTAATATTCCTTGAAGGCCCCCAAAACAGGTACTAAGAGAAACCAAGGATTCTGGGTCCCCTTCCACATAACCATGGTAGTAGCAGTCATTCCGGACAAAAGGCTGATCCTCAAGGAGAGCCCCCTGGTCTGTGTAGGTAAACACTGGTAGGTGTTTGGACAACAAAAGCTTCTTGGCTTTTATGTGGACAATGTGTCTCTGGCCTCCAAAGTAGAGACTGTAGGATATCCAGCCTCGAGGTTCCATGCCTCTGGCAGTGCCAGTTACTCTCTTGGGTATCACCACCTCTGGCGTGGTGTGATATTGGGGGTGTTCAGCCTGGATGTGTCCAGAACAAGACAGGAACACCCCAAGCCAGTATAGCAGGAGCAAGAGCTCCATGTTCAGCAGGGCTTCAACATCATGTGATTATAAAGCCACAGTTATGGAAACACTGGTTCAGAGGCGAAGTCAGGTCTAGAGTCACAGCAAGTCTGCTTTTTCTGCACTGGTCAGTGTGTGATGCTAGTCATTAAAAATCCATCTTCTGGCAGAGTTGAACCATCAGAGCTGCAGCCCTACAAGTAAAATGAAAAGCAGCATGTGGATGAATGTGGTTATGAGAGGATGCAGTAGGGGTAGGGAGAAAGAGAACAGCATAAGATAAAAGTGGTTAAGTGCTTTAATCAAGTAATGACTCAAGAAGCTGCCTGGAATTTGCTCTTAAATATTGATAGGGAAGAAAGGAGCAGGGAGTGTACAAGAAACCAAAATTGACCATATTGGTTGTTACTGAATGTGGATGATAGGAAGATAGATTTATAGTACTGTTCTCTAAATATATGAATATTAGCAATTAGTTCAACAATAAATAACTAAGACAAAAAAATTATAAAGATAAGCTTATCATATATCTTACATTGCTGAGGTAACCCCAATTCACATATGTTGAATTGTCATAAACATTAATAACTTTTCTTTTCAACTTCAGATGTTAAATTATCTGGTAATATTATCTAAGAGACATTTTTAAAAAGCACTCTCATACTATTTTTAAAGTTGTCATGGTACTTACCATATACCTCCCTATGGCACAATATTTATCTAATTTCCTTTTTCTTCCCTAACTTCATCTTCTCACCAGCCTTGTCTGGTTGGAAAATACTCTTGAGCATCATTGGTGTCATTCATAACTACTAGCTTCTCAAATAATGCTTGGATTAATTATTAACATAATAAATCATGGTCAACTTGATGGTTATTGTTTTGGGAGTGATATATGTGTTGCTCAAAATGTGTTTACACTTGATTACATTTTTATTTTTTTAATTAATTAATTTTTTTTTGAGTTGGAGTCTTACTCTGTCACCCAGACTAGAGTGCAGTGGCAGCTCCCAGCCACAGCAGCCTCAACCTGCTGGGCTCCGGCGATCCTTCCGCCTCAGCCTTCCAAGTAGCTGGAACTACAGGTGCGTGCTACCATACCCAGCTGATTTTTAATTTTAGAGATGAGGTCTTACCAAGTTGCCCAGGTGGGTCTCGAACTTGCGGGCTCAGGCAATCCACTCACCTCAGCCTCCCAAGGCGTGGGATTATAGGCTGAGCCACTGAGCCTGGCTTTGATTACATTTTTAAAGAAGAATATTTTTCAGTATCTGTGGCCAATTTGTGTGGTAGAACAAATTGGTATAGACTCAGTTTTCCTGTGTTTTCTTCCAAATACAGCTTAACACCTGAAACAAGTCAATGGACAACAAAAAGACCCTGAAAGCTGAAAAGAAAAATAAAGAAAAATAATGACTAGTGACCTCTGGACTTGAGGAACGACAGTAGGCTGAGTTATCTGAGTTTTCTTCTTATCTCTAAACTATATTCCAAACTGGGTGCTAGACAGGTATTTAACCCCAGACTTCCGGCAGGCATGGTCACAAACAAACAAACCAAACCCTGAAGACAAGATTTCACTTTCTGGTCAAATGACTGAAAATGGAAAAGCTCAACAAAGACCCAGTGAGGTACCCCAATGTTTTGTTTTGTTTTTAAATCAGGATGCATGTATGCTGATGCATCTATAGTGGCCATTTCAGAGTTGGCAGGCTCACCCAAAATGTGCTCTACACTCAATGCACTACTGTGCTATCAATTCCACACATATTCACAGCATCACCGCACTGGACGACCAATCTAACCATCATTCAATAACTGGGTAACTAGTTAACTAATCTGCCTTTAGAGACAGCAGTGATGTCCTAGCTGGCTAACTCAACCCTGCTTCACCATTGTGGAAGAGAATGGAGCCTGAAGTACCCACAGAGTTATCATTCATAATACCAGATATATCTTAGCCCTCTACGAAATGACGTAGGAAAACCTAAGCTCACTGTCCCTCCCATCTCCAGGCCTGAAAACGGTCCAGCAACATAAGTGTGCCAAGAAGAGCCCTCTACCCCAGATGGCAACAGCAAGATTAAGCTGGAACCCCTTCTGAATCAAAAGAGTGGAACTGATTAGGATAACATTCAAAGAGCTATCAAAATTAAACTTTTTTTGGAATTCAGTCCACAAAAAGCATTTCAGAATGTTTGCTCTAAATATCTAAAAAGATAACTGTCTCCTGAAACATAAAATTTAAAAAGTTATCAAGAGAGATATCAGTGATATGGCAGAGTAGGAAGTTCTGCTCCCTTCGGCCCCCCATAAATACACGCATTCAACAATTTGTAGACAGATTCTTTTTGTGAGAAATTTTGAAGCCAAATGAAGGATTGTTGCACCATAGGAAAATGCACATTCAGAATCCCCAGAGTTGATAGATTCAAAATACCCTCTCAGTGAAGTCTCTATCCCTAGTACACCACCATAAAATCAGGAAGAGAACGCTTAGCTCTCAGCTTTATCAAGTGGTTGGAAGAGGTTGGTTTGTATCCAGTGCTTCAAATTTTCTAAGGGGAGGGCTTTCTACAAGACTGGCTTCTGTTTTGTCAGTCTTGGAGCTTCCATTGGTCTGCCACAGCCTAACTGTCTAGGAAGAATGGAGATGGTGGCTTAGGTTGTAGATGCCATAGATCCTCCCCTTTCTAAGCAAAGAATAAGCGTATGAGAAATCCCATCCCTTAACTCCCCACAAGGATAAAAAGAGTTGATCTTTGCATTCAGCACCCCAGTTTCTCCATGGTTTCCCAAAGAACTAACACCCATTTGACCAGTTTTAGATCTCCAATGGGGCCAGCACAGTCTAAACACATGGGAAAATGAAGAAAGGGCTTGAACTGGTAAACATCATAGACTGCAATACTTCTTAGCACTGAGAAAGAGAGAACAGACAAAAAAATCCCAGTTCTCAGCTTTCCCCTGAGTAAGGAAAGAGTTGATGGTGCTTCGAATAAGCAACTTTATTCAGGGTTCTCCAAAGAGCTTGTATTTAACTAGCTGTTCTGACTTCTGACTGCTCTAGCACAGTCTAGAATTCTGAGGGAAGAACAGACATGGAAGGTTGGGCTAGTAGACATCATGGATTCCCCCTCTCTACTCAGTACCAAAGCAAGCATACAAAATATTCCTACTCTCAGGTTTCTTCTAGAGAGTGAAAGAATAGATCATATGCCCAGCACCCTAACTTCTCTGGACTACACAAAGATCTAGTACATGATTTGCTATTCTTGGATCTCTGTTGGATATGGTAAAATCTAGCCACCTAGAGGAGAAGAAAAATGGTAGTTTGAACTGGGGTTGACTCAACAGCTCCCCACCTGGGTCAACACAGAAAAAGTTGACAAAAATCACTGCTGCTTGCTTCTCCGTGGAGTGAGAAAGAGTTTGTAGAAGGACCAGATTTTCTAGTCTTGCTGATGGTGGATGGTTTCTGTACATGGTCATTCTGAAAAGATTGAGACAGATCATGCTGTGTTTAATGTGCAAGCATCAGCACATAAAATTTTTTAAATGTAGAAGGAGACAAAGATATTCGAAAGAAAGTATTAAGATAAGTCCTGAAACCTATGCTAGTGAAACATGCCTATACGATTTGCCTGGCATAGAATGCAAAATAACCTGTAATAAATATGCTTACTGAGGTCAAGATAACAATACATAAAGTTAGAATTGCAACAGAGATAGAAAATATTTTTTAAAGTACCAAAATAGAAATCATGAAACTGAGGAACACAGTAAGCACATTAAAAAATTTGGAGAGCTTCAACAGCAGGCTACATAAAACAAAAGAAAGGCCTAGTGTATAGTCAGTCCCCTACCTGCAAATATTTAAGTTGCAAGCTTTCAAAGATGCAAACATTCATTTACATGTCAAATCACATAAGTTAGTTCATATGTCTGATGTACATTCTGCTCCTGTATGCTAGCTTTTATACTGCACTGTACCACTGAACTTTTCAAAATACTGTAATGAAAGATTGAAATGATTTTTTGTGTTTGTTTTTATGTATTATTTGTGTGAAAATTATGTAAACCTATTACAGTACAGTACTCTATAGCTGATTGTGTTAGTTGGATACCTGGGTTAACTTTGTTGGACTTACAAATTGGACAAGCTATTGGAATGGAACTCATTTGTGTATAGGGGACTTACCATACTTGAAAACAATATGATTGGAAATCAGTCAGAGGAACAGAAAGACAAAAAAGAGTCAGTGTAAACTTAAGAAATGGATAAGACATCTTCAAGGAGATCGATAAATGCATTAAGGATGTCTCAGAGGAGACTAGAGAGAGAGGGGACCAGAATGCTATTTAAATACATAATGACTGAACACTTCCTGTTTCCAAACTAGGAAAGAAGTAGACATTCAGATTCATGAAGCCCAAAACTTCCCAAAAAAGATGAACTCAAAGAAATTTGCATTGAGACACATTATAGTCAAATTGTAAAAAGTCAAAGACAAAGAAATCAGGAAAAGATACTTTTCACATTTAAGGGAATGTCCATGAAACTGACAGTGAATTTTTCAGCAGAAATCTGAAGGGAGTGGGATGATATATTAAAATTTCTGAAAGAAAAAAAAGCTGTGCCAATCAAGAACACTATACATAGCCTTCAATAACAAGAAGAGAGAGACTATTTCCAATAAACGAAAGCTGAGAGAGTTCATCACCAGTTGATCCACTTTACAAGCAAAGCTAAACAAGAGTTATTCAAGTTGACATAATAGAACACTAAACAGTAACAATATAGCATAAGAAAGTATGAAACATGATAAAGGTAAGTATATAGGAAAATACAAATTCTGTGTTACTGCAATAATGATGCATAAATGACTTTTTATTCACAAAAATACTTATATATATTTAAGGAGTACAACATGATATTTTAATATACATAGTGAAATGATTACTATAATAATCATGACTTTCATTCTAGCACAAAAATCAAAAGGCAAAAATATTAA